GTGTGACATTGTGTGCCGTGGGGCGCACCATATTTCAACATTTGTTTATAGAAACTGCTTCTTCTTACACCGAACTTATTTTCTCATTGTACCCTGAATATAGACATGAAATCTGGAATTCTTACATCTAGTCCCAGGATAACTGGTAAATATGTATTGCATTCACGTCTACTATGACGAATGAACACAACTGACCACTGTATCTTGGCCTCCGGTGTCGAAACATCGGGTGATTGGTTGGAACTCCCTTGATTTCGAGTTGCCAGCATGTTTCCTTGTGAATTGCTGGTCTTGTCTAGCGCAAGATAGAAATTCATGCAGTATCTTGTTGACTAGTTAAATAAAGTACTATTCTAATATACCCGGCGAGAACAAAATAATCGGTTGTGCAAACCAAACACTTGACTTGTGTTTCAGTTTGAGAGAGAAGAATTTGCACGTTAACAGCACGTTTGGGAAGAAAAACTCTATCAGTCGTCGAGATTCTAAGCTGACGTTTCCCAATTGTGAAGCGACCGATTCCGTCATGTCCGATTCTTGGCCGATTGAATTTATAACTTGAGCTGTCATATCAATCCGTGTTCAAACTGGAGAACGAACAATGTTGAAGTAACTTTAAAAGTTTGAATGGGCTTTTGTTGTGCGTAGATCAGAATTCTAATGGAATATACTGTTTCTGTTTCCTCAAGATGCGGTTCTCGGTTCAGCTGAGAACGTTTGTATAACTTTATATTCAAGTTTCAAGGTTGCAAGAGGTCTGCTTTACAAGTTGGTATTAAAAACATTGTTTGATGCAGGTAACTGTGTCTTGATAATAAGTCGTTCATGTTTGGGTGAATACTCAATTATGAAATATGGCTGAACGTCCCCACTGTTACTAATACTCCAGAGATGAAATAAACACTACCGAAACACTTCATTCTTTATCCTAGGTTTTAAATACTGTTTCCATTTTGAAGATCTTACCGCCTACCTTAGGATGCTTCACTGAAAAAAGATCACTCCAAGTAAACATCTTAAATACAGTCTGGTAAATTTTTAGATCTAAGAAAATTTCAGTTGTCGCCCCTGAACATGGCATATTTGATGATGGTTATTTTGACAACAACGTACATTCTGAGTATTTTTAAAAACAGTTTT